AGAGAGAGAGAGAGAGAATCCCAAGCAGGCTCCACAATGTCAGCCCAAAACCCATTGTGGGGCTTGAACCCACAATCCATGAGATCATGACCTGAGCCAAAGTCGGAGTCTTAACTAACTGAGCCACCTAGGTGCCCCAAGTTGGTATCCTTTTAACATTAATGATTAAAAACCAAATTATTAAAGCAAGATTCCTTAATGGTCTGGAAACTTCATGGTTTCTTATTTTAGGAGTTGGAAGAAAATTTGGAATGTAACATCCAAATAGATGCCAAACCCACAGGAAAAAAAAATGATGGCACAGGACAACTTAATCATACTGTAGCTATCTAGTTTTTGGGTCACATTGTTTTCTTCAGTCCATGCTTATCATGTTCTTGTTGTTGGGGGTGTCCTTCCAGATGGGCATGGGCAGCCGAATATGCTGTGCAGGCCAGCAATCACCACCTCTTTGTGCAAATGAAGAGCCTCATGTGTTCTAACCTGGGAGAGGAGCTTGAGGTCATCTTCTCTCTGTTTGACAGTAAAGAGAATCGGCCAATCAGGTAACGGCACATGAAAACCTGCCTTAAATGTTTTAATGTTGGAATGGTGAGTATTTGTAATTGGCAAGCTTTGGGATATATGACGTTGCATACTTTAACTCTGTCAGCCACAATTTTCTCATTTGTAGAACTGTGTGAATTTCTAAGCTTGCCTACCCTCTGGAGGTTCCCATGAAAGTTAGATGTGTGATGCCTATAGAAGTTCTTTGAAAAACTCAAAAAGGCTCTAGAACCATGATAATTATTACTAAATGAAAGTATGGCATTGATATCAGGTCTGTTATTTGAGTTACTTGGTACTGATAATGCAAAGAACACGTAATCTTAACTATGTTTTATTATCAGGCTCAACGAGTTTTATTTTTGAAAATTTCACTAAACAATTACATTATTCTTATCCTATCTGTATCGGGTAATATTGAGAAAGACGTAAATACTTGGAAGCCTTCCCATTAGAGTTTTAGAGCTGTGAAATAGTAAACAGTTTCACATACTTTTTTTTTCTTTCTAAGTTCTCAGAGTCTTTTCTAAGGGCAAGTTTTCAATATATAGGAGAAACCTATAGTGAATATTTTGGTTGTCTTTCAAAGGCCTCAACCCTTGTTGAGACTTTTTTGTGTTTTCAAATCTTTTAGATTTGTTTAAAAGCTGAACACAATGCACCCCATCTTTTACCTTAAAAATTTTAATTTATAATTTAAATCATATCACACAAATCATACATAATGACCCAACTTTACCATATTTTTTAAAAATTATGCTTAATAAATGCTGACAGTTTTAAGTAACTCTGAGCCACATATATTGTCTTATAAACACACAGTAATTCTGGAGTATTTTTTCCTGGTAAAAAAATATTTTTTTCCTAAGCAATATGTGTGAAGTTTACTTTTAATGCATTTATAGCCATAAAATCTTTGGTGAATTATTTTATATGTTAATCATTACCTACTAGTAAGAGGACTTTTCTATATCCATACAATTTAAAGATAGCATTTTGGGGTAGAAAGGACAGAGTTTATGAGATGTGTAAATAACTGTGATAATAGTTTCAAAATCTGCTTTACATACTTTTGGAGGAAATGAATCAGTGAGTTAGAAAACTTTTCCCCCTTCACAAACCAGCAGTACTAAAAAGGGAAGAAAAAAAGTCTTGAAAAACAGATCCAAGTTACAGCTTAGCACTTGCTTTAGAAATAGGGAAGATTATTTAGAGATAATACTTGCTAACATATTGAAGTCTGTCTTAGCTTGGTTTTTCCAGGTAGTTTAACAAGTTCCTCATAACATTGTATAATATGTTGTCTCTAAAATAGTTAACAAACAGTGAGAATGTAAAAGGGAGGCATGAGGTCACTCTTTTGCTCAGGCTTATTAGGCTAAGGTTTTGAGGACTACAAATTCCCCTTGGCCACTGATGTTCACATTGCATTACTATAGGAAGTGCATTAATTTAATTTAAGATTAATATTGGCTGGTCTCGTGGTTTCGTCGGGAATTGACAGAATTCCCCTTGTTTTGTTCCTGTTTACTTGGTGAAAGTAGGAAAATAACCTGGGTACAGGAGCCTCAGAATATGTTTTTGCAGTCCCCAAGTTCAGACCAGGAGCTGGACCTTTTTCTTAGTCTGTGACGTGTGCCGGCCTCCCCCTTCTCCCTTTGCCCATTCTTCCTCTTCCCCTCCCCTTTCTTCTGTCACACGCACGCCTCTAATAAACCACCTGAGAGGTAATGACCCTAGAAGAAATCAAGCCTAAATCCTTCTTCATTGCTTCTACTTACTGAGTTTGGCTGTTGGCTCTCACCTCCCAAATTCATAATCACCGTAAAGATGATCTGCAAAGAAATGAGTAAGAATGAAAATATGTGCTTAGTAGGTGTTAAAACAGTCTCATGTTTATTTGCTTGGCTTTCCGAGGCCTTGGGCAGCGTAGTGATTGTTCTTTTAAGGAGCTTCTAAAACCTTGCTGTGAGTGGCTTCGGTTCCATTGATGGCACAGGGCAATATCACCATTAACTCTTGAAGAGGCCTTAGGGTGCACAGATCTGAAGACTGGACGTGATTGTCGTCTTCCCAGTTGACTGCTACTTCCCTGACCTCTTCACTCACCTCTGTCCTTTCCTTCATCTTGAAACCGGTGACAGGTCTGGCTTCCTTCATTGCTCCCAGCATAGCTAATGAGTGTAAAGTATTCACATCTTCTCAGGAAAGGGTATCAGAAAGGTAATATATGACTGTGAGACTTCCTTGTGTTTCTTCTTAGGCCCAACAATGGATGCAGTATGGGATGTATGGTATTTTAAAATCAACATGCATGTCTTGTAAAGCTTTCTTTCTTTTTTTTTTTTTTTAATAAAATTTCAGACGTGAAACAGTAGAATAGTATTGTACACGTGTACCTGCCTTCAGCTTCAACAGTGATCATCTCAGGCTGGGTCTTGTTTTAACCACACCTCTTTCTGGTCCTCTTCTTTGCCCCCAGATTACTTGGAGGCAAGTCCTCGATATCCTTTTATTTTTGTATGTAAATATTTTGGGGTATAGCCCTAAAAAGCAGAACTCTAAAGAAATCACTAAGAAATGAATATTTCCTTATCATCAGATATCCATATCCAGGCAGTATTCAGTATTCCCATATTGACTCATAAATGTAGTTTTACAAATTCCAAATAAGGAGGTTGTAACTTATAAGATCCATATAAAATCCATATATCGTAGCTGGTTGTTAAGTTTCACAAGTCTCGTTTCACCTTTTTTTTCCCCCCTCTCTCTTTTCCTCTTAGATTTTTTTGTATTTCTCTTTTGAGGAAACTAGGTCATTTGATTTTTATTTTTCCTTTTCTGAGTTCAAAGTCCAGCGCAAGTAATGAAAGCCCATAGACAAAAGATGGTATGTTTAAGTGAATGCTTTTGTTGTTAAAGAAGATCATTAGTGCTCTAATTTACAAAAAATAAAACACATTTTAAGTGTAATCTGACAGCATTATCCTGACTATTAATCACAGGAAGTTACCTTGTCCCGGTGTAACTAGAGTGACTGACATGTGCAAAGCCTGGAGAGGAGTGATGATGAGAGGTAGATGTTTATTTCTGCCACAAGGCAGACAACTGGTTAGGACTTTTTTTTTTCTTCTTTTGTTTTAACTTTCCTCCTCCAAGAAGCAAACAGCCAGCATTTATTGAACACTATCCATTTTCCAGACTTCTTTCTAAATGCTTTAAAAATATTACCAGCACTGATTTTATAGGGAGTGAACCAAGGCACAGACAGGGTAGGTAACTGGTCTAAGCTTATAGACCCGGCAGGAGGCAAAGCTGAGCTACAAGCTGGCAGTCTGTCCCACTCTACCCTGTGGGCCTCAGTCCTCAAGGGCTTCAGTATTTACCTGAAAGTTTCCATAGTTGAGCAGGATTTTACTGGCCAGAGTTAGAACTCCAGAGACTGATAGTATTAATAATAGGTTGTTATAAATTACTGATAATGATAATACTAGATCTAGGCAGAGGGCCTCACAAATACTCTGTGCTCCAGAAATTGGTTTTCTGAATTGAGTCCTCAAAATACTCAAAGAAAAGCGAAGTAGCATTGGCTCACCCCGTATGCCAGTGATAAAAGTCATAGCGGTACTTGGAGACGTCAAATGCAAAAGGAGACAATGTGTGAAAATGGTCCCCTTCTGGTTCACTCAGTGGAACAATGGCACACATGGTATCTCCTCAAAACCGAAGGGTACGTTTTCCAAAAACAATCTTAAATTGTCACTGAAGTTGGGCCATACTTAGGAAGCCGGTTAATTTTACCTGAAGGGACCCCAGAATGTTAGGCGTCTGATGCGTGTGGCATCCAACTCTTGCTGTAAGCATCCGTAAAGATTTTGTCTATTTCTGACACCATCTTGCTAACGTACACCGACCCTGTACTTCTTTTCCAGTTTCCTTTCCTCATTTGTCTGTGTGACAGCACCGACCCGGAGAAGCCTGCAGATAAAGCTGCATTGGACTCTCAGCAAATAGAACACACTTTTATTTAGTTGAGTTTTGTACAGTCTTGATATGATATAGCACTGTAAAACATAATTAGTAAAAAAAAAAAAAAAAAAAGAGTTTGAAAAATCTAGTTTTATATGAGTAAAATGCTTTTGGAGTGAATCTATCTGGTTGCAAGTTTGTCATTTCCCCAGTCCACGGGGGATAGCTGGAAAAGTCAGGGAGTCATTTCCCTAGATATTATCTGTAACTTTATTTTTTTTTATTTTATTTTATTTCTTCTTCTCTATTTATTTAACAAAACATATAATGCTTATGATGTGCCAGGCACTGTTCTAAGCTCTTTTAAAAATATCTGTTTATCCCTTGTAACAACTCTCTAAGGTAGGGACTTTTAATATCCCCATTTTTTTATGGATGGGGAAAGTGAGGCCCCGGGGTAATAAGTAACTTGTGCGAGGCGACACAGCTGGTATTTTAACTTGTAGCCTCATCGGGTGTCAGTACTCTTAACCGCTATTCTCATCTTCTTCAGTATTTATCATATTCCCTTTTCTTTTTCAACCAAGGTTTACTCACCAGTGTGTAGTAAGGGGTGTGTTGAGGGTTTGGTTCTTTTTTTAAGAACCTGGAGTGGGAGAGACTTGAGCTCCATTGACAGGAAGGATCCCCTAACAAAGGAGAGGTTACACTCAGGGGAGAGGGGAAGTAATTGCTAGATCAGTGTCCCTTTGGAGACATCAGGAGACTGGTTTGAGACTGAAGGTGGGGAGATGAGCCATGGACCAGTGACAGGGAGAAAGGAAAGTGTAATGATGTGCATAAACTGAACTGCAGGATTGGGAATATCAGGATATACATATATATACACACATAAATATATTTATATATAAATACAAATATACATATATAAATTTACATGTATATATATGTATATGTATATATAAAGAAATCAAACCACTTAACATTATATGCCGCAAATGTGTCTCCTCTGGCTGGCATTTGAAATTGG